CCCCCTTCTCTGATTTTATCCATAGTTGCCCTTCCTTCCTTCTTTTTTCTGTGTTCTTTTTTTTTTTTTTTTTTTTTTTTTGGCTGCAGTATATCACATAAGAGGCTACAAATAAGGAGGAAGCAATACCAAAGGCGGCAGAACCCCACTGCGAGCCTGCGGTTTTCCATTCCAGGCCGTGGATTGCGCAGATCGACGGCAGCAGTAATACACGTGTGACATGTCCCACTCACCCCGGGGGCCAACTCCCACGAGCAGCATTTAGTTTCCTCAACAGCACATGGCCACAAAGGTGTTCTTCATTTCTGGCCATGGATCTGCATATTCCACCAGAATGGGTGGTCAACACTGAAGAACACACGCCAGTGGGACATAGCCCCAGAAAACTCAACGCTGCTAGTGGGACGTTGGGTCCCTGTAACCGCAATTCAGTACTTATCATGGAAGATCGCCAAGGCCTACACTTGGAAACAATCTATAACATTGCACGGACCTCGCAGACAATTTGTACTCCAAAAAACAGAGGGGCCCGCTGACAATGCAAACCACACACACACATCCTTCCCTTCACAAACCCTCAACCCCCCCGCCCCCCCCCCCTGAACACCCAACACCTTCCCATCATCTAACACACTGGAGAAGGGCCCAATGAACGCTGACGGCCCGCCCATCTACGTTCACCCCCACCGCTGACAACACCCACCCGCACTGCACTTCGCCAGTGTAGCCGCAAATCGTGTATACTGACACGCTTCGCAGATTCCGCCAGTCTGCCACGATGATGACAATGCACACAAAACTCTCCCCATTTCCCACCTCCACTCACATGTCCACAATCCGAATGTTGTACATTTTTACGACAGAACATACGGCGTACTTTGTTACAAAGTTTTAGACGCTAAGGCACAACATTCACCTATCACATTTGAAGGCAAGTTCCCGCAAAACCCTAAACCGTCCATGGTCGGAGCGGCACCAAACACAGGCCACACGATAATCGCTGCATGTACGCGGCACACCTGACGCTCAGATCCACACACGTCACACATTACAGACAACTCTGGCTGGTGGGACCTAGACCCTGGAGTTTGGGAAAAGTTATAAAACCTCTCCGTGAGGAAACCTTGGTTTCCATGTCCCCCCAAAAGGGGAAAAAGGTGCCGCAGGCCCCTAAAATGTGCCAGTGTCTATTTCCATGTTCTAGCGACAGATTGATTCCCATTTTGTTAATCCTATGGATGGAAATCAATCTCTCTCTCTCTCTCTCTCTCTCTCTCTCTCTCTCTCTCTCTCTCTCTCTCTCTCTCTCTCTCTCTCTCTCTCTCTCTCAACGCGCGCTTTCTCCAGGTTCACACTGCAGTAGTCCGTTCCAGGTCGAACGGGTGCGGTTATGTGCTCTATGGGTTTCCAGGTTCGTGGGAGTTCGAACGACACCACCAAGACCACGTACCAGGTGCAGACCCTGAACCACGGGCCGTTTCTCACTCCCCCAGGCCTGGGCCTCTGCTGCCAGTGGGCCCTCCCACGTGGCTGACTAGACTGCTGACCCACGTGTCAACTTCATTTGGAATTCCGGCCCTGACTGCAGTTTTTGATTTTCCATTGCATTTTGACACTCTAATCCAGACTCCACCATAGTTTTCCCCTTCCTTTTTTTTTAGGAACGTGCGCCATTTCTCACTTCACCAGGCCTGCACCAGGGCCTCTGCTGGGCCCTTCCACCTGTCTGACTAGCCTGCAGTTTCTAACTCCACCGCCCGACTTTTCTGCTCACCCGAGTTTCAACTGCATCTGAAACGCGGGCCCTGTCAAGACTGCGGAAACCGTGTTTGAACACATTCTCATACTTTAAACCTGAGTCCGCCATAGTTTTCCCAATTAGAAACAAGAAAGCAACTCAAAAAAAGCAAACAACACCATAGTGTAACTGCTAAAGCTCTTACATGGATGAGGTAGACTAGGTGATTCCAATGTTGTCAGATAGCGCAGGACCCACCTTTTCCTTTTTTTCGCAAAATGGACCTACCAAACTTTGGGCCATTACCCAGTGGGCCAGTGTGCTACAAAATTTGCGCACCTTGATAGGCTAGGGGATGAATACGGTCCGGGACAACAACCAGGGGCAGCTCAAATCGGACGAGGAATTGGTGGTCTCTTGACATTATCTGCTTCTTTATCTTATTCGTTTTTCATTTGGACCATTTCTTGACATATGCCTGAAAAAGAAAAAGAAAAAAACAAGAAAGAAAATAGGGGAAACTATGCGGCGGTCACAGAAAAATAAGTTATAATTGCAGTATAGTCCAAGATAAATAATGGGGTAAAGCCGCGGGAGTCACAAAAACGAGTTATAATTGCACTATGGCCCAAGATACAGTTTGTAATTGCACTATGGGCGAAGATACAGTTTGCAATTGCACTTCGGGCACCCTACCTGGCCAGAAAGCTGGCTTGTATACATTGGCCGAACTGCAATGGCAACCTGTATCTTGGCCCATACTGCAATTATAACTTGTTTTTGTGACTCCCCGGTAGTTTCCACTATAATAATTCTAAATTACCTGGAGCCAGTAACTTACATTTTGCAAGTGGCCTGTGGCTCAGTGATAGGGCACCGGTTGTCAATGCTCATCGTGGTTTGATGTTGCGGGTTCAAAACTCCGCACCTCTGTGCAGAGACATGGTCTGATGTTGCGGGTTCAAAACTGTAGCGGACCCACCAGGTGTGGTGCTCCGCTAGTGACAGAGATGGAGATGGAGGAAGAAGGGGGGGAGCAAGATGGCACAACGCAGCTCTCCACGCAAGACTCCAACGCACGTACTCCAAAATGTGCAAGTGAAGAATGAGGCTGAAAACAGACAATGGCTGGGGTATACCCCAGCGGACTGACGGGACTGGACTGGACTGGTTGGTACCGACAGAGGTACCGGCCTGGACTGGCCTACCCCGAATACAACACAGGCCTGTGAGAACAGGCCAAGGGGCTGGTCTCATAGGCCAACCCGAGGTCCGCTACACGATCCTCGGCCTGTGATGGATCGCCTAGATACAAACATGCTTCCGCCAAGAAGTGGAACTCTACCAAAGAAAAGAAAACTTGAGTAGTCTAGGATGCGGAGCAAGCTCCATGCTGAGTCCATGCGATGCAACCTAGGATATAAAATAGCACAAAACAACAATGTCACAGCTAACAGCCTAAGTGAAAGCAGAAGCAACTAACTAACCTACATGTCCTAGGAAAGCAAAAGCAACTAACTAGCATACATGTCCTAGGAAAGCAGAAAGTAGTGACAACTAGATCCTAGAATGTTGGAGGCACTAGCCTCAGTCTGGTAACAACTGACTAGTGTATAAGTCC